ACTTCGAAAGCATAACCAGTAATAGGAACAACAGCCATAGAATAAATAGTCTGAAGGGCTTGCCAAGGGGGAGCCCATATGCGGGATAAATGTCTTCTTAAAGTTGAGAAAAGTCCTTTAGCTTTTAAACAAACTGTCTTTATATGTTCTTGATAATTCAGTTTTTGATCTAAGATTACACCAAGATATTTAACCGATTGTAAACCTCTTAAGGGAATATTATTTAGTTTAATAGAAGGACGTCTTACTCTTTTACCAGCAAACATAACGTAATTGCATTTATCAATCGAAAAAGATAACTTATTATCATCAGCCCAGCTATTAATACTATTAAGAGCAGAATTAGTAAACTTTTCTAAATCACCTCTATTATCAGCAAAAGAAATGACCGCAATGTCATCAGCATAAGCAAAAATTTTAATATTATTACCAAATTTGATCTTCAATAAAGAGTCAAGAGCAGTATTCCAAAGAAGAGGACCCAGTACAGATCCTTGAGGGCAACCTCTAGATAAAGTTTTATATCTAAAAGATTCATTAGAATCACTCAAAGATAAAGAAGTAGTTCTATTTTTAAGATAACTTTTAATAAAATTAACAGAGTCACAGGATAAACCCTTATTAATAAGAGAGTGAATAATGGTAGGCCACCAAACATTATCAAATGCTCCTTTAATATCTAAAAAACAAGTTATTAAAAATTTTGAATTATTTGTTTTGATAAAATTAGTAACATCCAAAATAGCATTGGTAGTAGATCTACCTTCTCTAAATCCATATTGATTTTTATCATGGAAATTTTGTTCAGGAATTTCATTAAAAAGAACTTTCTTAATAATTCGTTCAAGAACTTTGCCTAAAATTGGTAAAAGAGTAATAGGTCTCAGATTTTTTAGTGAATTATTAGAGGAAATATTAGATTTTGGGATAAGAATTAATTTACCATGTTTCCAAACATCTGGAAAATGACTAAATCTAATACAATCATTAAAGATTCTAGTAAGTAGATTGACAATAATTGGAGCAACGGTCTTTATGACAGTAGGAAAAACATTATCTGGACCTGGAGCTTTTTTGATAGAAAGATCGTTTAACAAAACTAAAACTTCATCTTCAGACACACAATATGGATCAGTGACAGGAATGGTTCCAGTTAATAAATTAGTTGATTCTCTAAAAAATTTATGATAGAAAGAGTCTTTTGAGTGATCATCTGAAATAACAAAATTATCCAAAATAGCCTCAGAGGATTCACCCAAGGTAGTAGAAAATTTACCTTTATATGGAATACTAGTAGGAATATGTTTATTATTACAACGATTTCTAGCTAGTTTATAAGGAAGACTCCAAGGGTTACATTCTAGTTCAGATATAACAAATTGGCTCCATGAAGAAGAGCGAGTTTTATCAACAATATTTTTAAATTTATTAGCAGCAGATTTATAAATTAACTTAAGGCCATCTTTCAAATATGAAGGAGCCTTTTGATAGGCTCTTCTGGATTGGTTTAAACTAAAGTATACACGAGAAAAAGGAAAACAAAAAGCGCGAATGAAACCAGACGTTTGCGTACGAAACAGGACCGAAATGGACAAAGGAAATGCAGGCAAACCGAACGCGGATGAAAGCAGAGATTTGCAATTAAAAGCAGATGTTTGGAGATGTTCGCGGATAAAAGCAGATATTTGCGGATAAATGCAGGTGTTTGCGGATAAAATCAGATGTTTGCGATTAAAATCAGATGTTTGCGGATAACATCAGATGTTTGCGGATAAAATCAGATGTTTTCGGATAAAATCAGATGTTTGCGGATAAAATCAGATGTTTGCGGATAACATCAGATGTTTGCGGATAAAATCAGATGTTTGCGGATAAAAGCAGACATTTTCAGATTAAAATAGATGTTTGCGTATAAAATCAGATGTTTGCGGATTAAAACAGATGTTTGTGGATAAAATCAGATGTTTGCGGATAAAAGCAGATGTTTGCGGATAAAATCAGATGTTTGCGTATAAAATCAGATGTTTGCGGATAAAAGCAGATGTTTGGAGATTAAAACAGATGTTTGCGGATAAAAGCAGATGTTTGCGAATAAAATCAGGTTCGCGGATAAAAGCAGATGTTTGCGGATAAAATCAGATGTTTGCGTATAAAATCAGATGTTTGCGTATAAAATCATATGTTTGCGTATAAAAGCAGATGTTTGCGGATAAAAGCAGATGTTTTCGGATAAAATTAGATGTTTGCGGATAAAATCAGATGTTTGCGGATAAAATCAGATGTTCGCGGATAAAACCAGATGTTTACGGATAAATGCAGATGTTTGCGGATAAAAGTAGATGTTTGCAGGTGAAATCTTATGAATCAGACTTTTGCGGACTAAATGAGATGTTTACGGATTAAAACAGATGTTTGTGGATTAAAATAGATGTTCGCGGATGAAAGTAGATCTTCACGTATAAAAGCAGATGTTTGCAGGTGAAATCGGATAAAGCAGACGTTTGCGGATTAAAGTAGATGTTTGCGGATAAAATCAGATAAAACCGGGTGAATGCAGATATAAACTCAAATACAGGTATTTGCGGATGAAAACAGATAAAAGCAGACATAGATCTAAATAGATAAAACCCGACGTTCGCGGATAATATTTATACCCGCAATTGCAGATAAAAACCGACATGCCGGGTAAAATCAGATATGTCGGATAAAAACAGATATAAATGGACATAAAACTAGCTTGGTTTTTTATCCGCAATCATCCGATATTACCCGTCTTTTTCAGCAGGGTAATTTGTTCCAATCCAAAATTACTGAAAAAATACTTTAACTTACCGTGCCGTTTATTTAAATTGTTTCGGTACTGTTCTTACTAATTTATATTGTACCTTTATATATATCTAGTAGATATTACCTAAATATGTATAAAAAATTAAATTGATTTATTTTGTGTTTCGTTTTAGTATGAACGTAATTTGTTAAAGAAATAATAGATGTTTTCTTTAATTTCAAATTCCTTTATTTATATTATAAAGGCATTATATTGCTTTATAAATAGTTTTTGAAAAAAATAGACCTAACAAAAATAAAACTTTTGGTAGTAGCCCAGTCAATAGGAAGTTTAACCTTGCCAAAGGTATAGGATTTTTACAAAGTCCAAGTCTGCAACCTTTCTTGCTGAAAAAAACTAATCTCATTTTGTAAGTTTTGATAATAATAATCATAAAATATATTTTATGATAATCATAAATATATTTTGCAACTTCTATTCTTTAATTGATTTAAATCTAATAATTATTAGACCTTTAGGTACTACGTAGTAAATTTCTAATAAATCAATTAAAGTATACATGTATACATTTACCTACTCTATTTACCTAATCTTCGAAACGGCTGAATCAATTTTGAGAGAACTTTCACTGGCAGGTAGAGGACTTTTCAGACTTTTTGACTTCTTTGCCGAGGGTAAACCAAAATTTGGCGTTACGAAAGATGAAACGCAGTACGAAAGGTGAAAAGATGCTTATGCATGACGCGTATTAGAATATTCGAACAAAATTCACGCAGTAGTAGCATACATTAAAAAATGGTAGGACAAATTCGCAAAGTACTTGAAAATTAAAAAATGGTAGGACAATTTTGCAGAATAATTCAAAATTAATGTCCTGGAAAAAAAGTACAATAAAAATTAAAAATGTCTAATATTTTTAAAATTCACAGCCATAACTCACATCTGTGATAGCCTATTACAGATGTCAAAAATTACATATTATGTATAAAATGTTTTTGCGATCAATGATCAAGAGTTAATACTGTTTAAAATCTTAATCCTTTTTGATCACGAAAACAAGTGACCTTATATAAATTTGAATAAACTCTTCTCTTTCTTCTCAACTCATCATTTGAATTTGCATTGACAATCAGTACCTATACAAATTTATGACAGTTATTTATATAAATAAAACACATTTTAAATGTTGTATATATAGGTTTATTTATATAATAAATAGTTTTTCATTTGTGGCGAATGAACCATATGGTTTTCACAATGCACTTACATGCAGAGCCTGACTGCACTTGCTAAAATCAATAATTTTAAGTTTTTATTAAACGTCATTTTAAATGAAATAATAAAAATAATTTTTTTCTTATAAGACAATATTTCAACCTAAAAAAATGTATCATTCCCACTTAATGTACATTTGTGAGCTACCATTATATAAAATTGTGTATATAAAAATAAAAAATATATAGACTAAATAATGTTAGTTAACCCTGTAAACATAAATATTTTTAAAACTAATTATAATAACTTTAAAAATATAAAAATTGTGCTGTAATATTTATAATATTATAATAAACTGTTTAATATAACATTAAATCATTTTTAAAATGTATAACAAAACATATTTATAAATAGAATGTTGAGCAACTTTTTTATTTTATGTATGCAGGGTTAATATTCCTTTTATAATGTAAAGTTGTTTAAAATATGCCATACAGAACATAAATAAATATATATTTTAACAATATACTTTTTTGTACTTAAAAAAGTCATTTATCAACTAAGTACTAAAAATTATGATCTGAATGGCTTTTAAATATAAAATTAATTGAGCATTTTTTTATTGTAAAATATATTTTTTATTAAAAATTATCCTACCACCGGTTTAAATAAGCTTACAAATATTGAGCAGCAGTTTTAGTTTTAAATATGTGAATTAAATTAGGTGTGGTGGTTAACATAATATGTTATACCCAATACCCAAAATGGAATTTTTGAACATAAAAGTAAAAAATACAAAAAAACATAAATTCGGAACATAATAATTCAATAGTCTTTTATATTTAAAATATTTAAAACTAAAGATTTTCTAATCTTGAAAATATTCTAGGCAATTTTTAAACTGTGTGGCTTTTTACTAAGAAAATCTATGAATTTTATTCAAATAGAAAAATTAATTATAAATACATTAGTTATCTACATTTAAAATTATACTGCTCTCAATGTTTGCCAAATATATATTTTTACAGTTAGCCAGACTAACGGGTTGGAGATAAGACTAACAGGAATTTTGTATTTTTAAATTTAATAAAAATAGAAAAAAATATGTATGCATTCGTAAAATAACGTTTAAATATACAGGGTGTTTTTACTTAAAATAGACAAGGTAATTATTATAAATATTTTTCATAAAAAGGTTTAAGCAAAAACAAAAGGAGGATAATTCGAAAACAAAAGCTCAAAATATTTATTTGAAAAAAGTGTCTCGATGAGATCCACAATCTCTATAAATAATTTCGTTGTCCATTTTTAGTAGAAACACCCTACTTAAATAACTATATCGGTGGCCTAATAAATTTTAAACGTTAATTTATTTACTTCACTGTTGCTTACAACTACCATCTTTTGATTTCTTTTTTTGTTTCTTTTCCAATGATGCGGTTCGTCGTTGACCCTGGATTGGCATGTAAGGTGGAGCGGGATTTTCATCATCATGTTCGGTAATATCTGGAGGTGGTAATAACATTCCAGGACTGCTGCTAGAAGTACTGGTGGTTACTGAACTGGAAGCGGTATCGTAACTAGATGATAAACGGTATCCCCTTCGGGAATATGTTGGATCTATTGCCATTGCAATGTTAGAATGTGCTGAAGGAGACTGAGTAACGGGGGTATTATTGTCGGGTTCTGGGTCCGGGTACCGTGGTTTATTAAATCGTGTTAAAGGCGATCTGAAATTAAAATTGCATTGATACAAACAGGGTGGTCCAAAATTAATAGGGCACAGTGTAACAGTAGTTAAATCAAAATGTGATAATAGCCAAGATAAAGGGTGTCAAAATTTGTTTAAGATTAATAATTTTGACATAGTCAAGCCACGTCAAGTGGGACCAAAAAATTTCACGAAATCACCGATTTTAAAAATAATCAAATTATTGTGTATTAGGCATGACTCATATGTCACAGTAAAAGATTTGTTTTAAAATGTTATTAAGGTTGACAATTTTGTCAAACTTTAGAGCACGGTAAAATTGAAAAAATAGAATCTCTGGGACCACTCTGTATAATTGAATTAAATTTAGACTAGTTAGACTATAGAATGATCATTTAATTATAGTAAATTTGTTTAAATAAAATAATTTTGCATACATTTATTATAAACAATTGAAATTTTGTATGTGTTCTTCACGCTGAAAAAAAATTAAACTTGTGTCATAATATGCGGCAAACGTTCCCGTTTAATAAAATGTACTCAAAAATTTGTCTTTCACATGTCATTCCGAAGATATTAAATTTTTTGTTCCGCTGTGCGCTTGATCAGTACGCGGCGCGCTTCACTGTTACACGATATGCCTGAACGAGGTTTAAGACACATAAAAATGCCACAAAAAAACTGATTGTTCGGGACCCTTTGGTGACTTAAAAATGAAATTTACCAAAATCCTAGCTGCTACTCTTTTAGAATTTTTTTGTTATTGTTATTTTTGGAGATTTTTTTTTCGTGCATTATGCTTTTTACTATATAAAAAAGTGATTTTTGGCTAACCCTGTATAAATCTAATGATGTGCTCAGTATTCTCCAAGTCTCGTTAACAATATACTCCAATAAAAATCGGTGTACAAATGTGTACTCTAGCAAAGGTAGACTTTGCGATAAACAAATAATTTAAAAAACATGAATTTATTACAAATTTAAAAAAAAGCATTTTGGTAAATATCGTTTTTAAATCACCCAAGAGTGCCGATCAAAAAACTTCAACCAGTTTTTAGTTCAAAATTGAAAACTACTACAAAGCTTAAATTAAACAACATTTTAAATATTCTCTAAGCGTTCTTTTATTTAATTTTATTAAAAATCCATTTTTCTTGTAAAAGGTTTAAAAATAAAAATGTCATTTTGTAACCTGATAAACGTGGAAATATCTAAAAAAAAAATTGGGGATAAATCTTTTTTGCGTGTTATGCCAAAACCATGAATTTACGCTTTTGCTTTATTAAAAATAAGTGATTTTTGGCCAGCCCTGTATATATCAAATGAGGTGAACAATATCAAAAAGTATTTTCTAAATCTTCTCAATAATTTACGCCAATTTTATAAAATCGGAGTACAAATGTGTAGTCTGTCAAAGGTAGACTGAGATAAACAAAAATTTAAAAAAAAATCATGAATTTTCAAACAATTTCGAAAAGAGGAGCAGCTAGGATTTTGGTAAATATCATTTTTAAGTCACCAAAGGGTCCCGAACAAGAAACTGCAATCAGTTTTTGCCGGCATTTTTAGGTGACTTTGTTCAGGCATACCGTGAGCACAGAGTTCCGTTAAAACGTTAGAACGGATGAACTAGCAGCGAAGCGCGCCGCGTACTGATCAAGCGCACAGCGGGACAAAAAAATTAATATCTCCGGAATGACATATGAAAGACAAATTTTTGAGTACATCTTATTAAAGGGAAACGTTTGGCGCATATTATGACACAAGATTTTTTTTCAGCGTGAAGAACACATAAAAAATTTCAATTGTTTATAATAAATGTATGCAAAACTCTTTTATTTAAACAAATTTCCCTTAATTAAATGATCATTCTATAGTCTAAACATTGCTACAATAGTGTATAAAATTTAATTTAATTATACAGAGTGGTCCCAGAGATTCTATTTTTTCAATTTTACCGTGCTCTAAAGTTTGACAAAATTGATAAACTTTAATAACATTAGGTACCAAAAAAACGAATTTTTAAACATTTTTTTACTGTGTAATATGAGTCATGGCTACTACACAATAATGTGATTTTTTTTAAATCGGTGATTTCGTGAAATTTTCTGGTCCCACTTGACGTGGCTTGACTCATAGCGGCACAAAATTGAAGATTATGATTGGGAATTTTTTTTAAGCAAGTCGGCTGCAACAGTGATACGACACAAAATACTGGCTGATGAGTAAACAGTAAAATGTGCCAGTATTGTCGGCGATCACTGTACTTTTGAATATATTGCAATCTATTATTGCAATACTGTATGGTTGCGCCGTCTATTAAAAAGTGAATTAACTATTGTTGTGCCAGTCTTGCAGCCATTAGAACACCCATTTTGAAAGTACTACTTTTTAGGTAAGACAAATTGTATACATTTTTGTTCTACCTTTTTTCTAATTGAATTAAACAAACAACTAAACTAAAATGTAATATTAAATTTAAATAGTCCATGCCATATGATTTAGGAAAGAAAAGATATTTTACTACATATGAAATTCCAATATGTCAGCAGCTTTTAGAAAGTAATAAATAATATTTCAAAAGGTATATAACTTTCATATCCAGTATTTTTTGCCCCTGGGCAAAATTTATTTTTATGTTACTATTAGTGAACTAAAATTAAATTTTGCACAGGGTCAAAAAATACTGGATATGAAAGTTATATACCTTTTAGAGCTATTTTTTAAAAATTTCACACTTGCATTCAATTTCGTAGGAAATCAAACTTTGAACCAATTAGATACTTTAATGTGGGGTTGTTTTATTTAATTAAACGAAAAAAAGCTTTGAATTAATTTTTACATACGTGTATAATCGGATTAGAGTAGATCTACTTGATATATATATATATATATATATATTAGGGTGTTTTTTATTTTTTTACGCATACCCTCTAATTATATTTATTACGTGTTTATATACTCCCAGTAAAAATTTCAGCTCATTCTATAAACGGGAACCCGTGCCGACTTGCATCTGAACCCTCCGTGAGCCAACGTTAGGCGCGCGGTATTTTGTAACACGGTTGGCCGCGAGGTCTTCGATCGTAAGTCATTTTGTGTTTGTTATTATGTGACCCTTATATTATAAATTATTGACAAATGTTAAAATATAGTTTTATTTATGTGTATACTTTGATAAAAATGTATATTTTCACAGGGAGTGGCTAGTTACCCGGAAGGGTCTAGTGAATATGCCGTAAACTCTGAAATTGATAAACTTAATGGGATTTACTCTAAATAACTAAAAGAGTTTATTACAATTGTGAGAGATGACTACCGAAAACTGTCTGAAATATTTCACAAGAAAAGAAATGCTTATAAAAAGCTGAAATTTCATATAACAGTATATTTTAGCAATACTAATTAGTATATTAATATATTTAAGGGATAAAATCAACTAATTTTTTTTTGGTTATTTTTTAGCTGTCATTCAGATATAATAAAAAAAAGAGTTTCGGGTAATTAGTTTTACGGCCTATTCACCCGACACTTCCGGGTAACTAGCCACTTCCTGTAAAAATATTCATTTTTATTAAAGTATACACATAAATAAAACTATATTTTAACATTTTTTAATAATTTATAATATAAGGGTCACATAATAACAAACACAAAATGACTTACGATCAAAGACCTAGCGGTAACCGTGTTACAAAATACCTCGCGCCTAACGTTGGCTAATGGAGGGTTCAGATGCAAGTCGGCACGGGTTCCCGTTTATAGAATGAGCTGAAATTTTTACTGGGAGTATATAAACACGTAATAAATATAATTAGAGGGTATGCGTAAAAAAATAAAAAATAAGGGACACCCTAATATATATATATATATATATATATATATATATATATATATCAATGTTAATTATTGACAGAATTTACTTAATTGTGAATTATTGCAGCGGATTTTAAAAGAAACAAAAATAACAAGCTTATAATAATTTTCATAATAATAAGTTTATATATAAACTTATTATGAAAATTATTATAAGCTTGTTATTTTTGTTTCTTTTAAAATCCGCTGCAATAATTCACAATTAAGTAAATTCTGTCAGTATATATATATATATTAGGGTGGTCCTTAGCTATAGAGGTAAAAGATATACTTTTAATATTGAATTGTCCCACCCCCCCATTTTGTTATAACACAAGAGAAAAAAAATTACACAAAAATTTGAATGGCCAACTCAACCCCTTCACGTGCCTGTGAGGGGTTGAATTTTGACAAAATCCCCATTTTTTAAGGTTTTTGCCATTTACTCCGCAAAAATCGCATATCTCAAAAAATTTTACTCATTAAAATATTTTCGTCTATTAAAGGTCTATAAAAATTGTCTCTTGAGATTTTATCATAGAAAGCACCATTTCGTGGAAAATTGCATTTGTGCATAATTACCACAAATTTAAGGTTTTTGTAGGAAATGATGCTTTCTAGGATAAAATCTCAAGAGACAATTTTTATAGACCTTTAATAGACGAAAAGATTTTAATGAGTAAAATTTTTTGAGATATGCGATTTTTGCGGAGTAAATGGCAAAAACCTTAAAAATTGGGGATTTTGTCAAAATTCAACCCCTCACAGGCACGTGAAGGGGTTGAGTTGGCCATTCAAATTTTTGTGTAATTTTTTTTCTCTTGTGTTATAACAAAATGGGGGGGTGGGACAATTCAATATTAAAAGTATATGTTTTACCTCTATAGCTAAGGACCACCCTAATATATATATCATTATGAAACTTAAAAGAATAAAGCTAAAATTTCAACATGTCAGTTGAACCTAACGTAAAATTGTGCTTCAAAATCTTAAAGAAATATTCTAATTAAATGCTTAAAAAAAGTAAGTATATATTTATATAACCCAGCGGGAAAAGCTTATTGCCCCGCACACAATCTACTGCCTCGGATATGGCCTCGGCAGTGAAATGTATACTCGCCTGGTCTATAATGTAGTGTTTTTTCAACATATTTTTCTATCTTTACTGAGGTAAAAATGTAGGTTATGTTTTATTTCACTGCATAAAAATATAATATTGATTTTGTTTACTTGCAAGGATTAGGTATAATAAACAAGAACAATTATTTTGTTTTATAATTAATTTATTCTAATTTTATAAGTTGGTATAAATTGATTGGTATAAAGAAAAGAGTATATTTATCTTTAGTCTATGTTTAATTTATTTCAGTTTATGATTTTGCAGTGACACTATCATAGTGTTATGGAATTTTTGCTTTGGGAAATAAATATTTTGTTATGATTATAAAAATATTTGTTGTAGATTTATTATTCTCACTTATGATAAAATATTTTCCTATTATTATTAATCTAAATTAAAAATGTGTTTTAAGTTATTTCCTATTTGATTTTGTTGTTTTCGTGAAAAGATTAATTTTATTATGTATAAAAGGGGTCAACCACCCAAATGGAAAACAACCAGGGATTCCCACATATTCCCATTGTCTTCCTATGTTATTTCCCCTCTAAAATGTCCAGGGATTCCCAGGTGAGGTTGACCCATCGGATTATTCCTATTACGTAATTTTGAACAAATAAAATGTCAAATAAATCAGCCTGTTCTGCATTAAGTTCTGATGTCCTCTGCTCAGCCTTCTGGGACAGAATATACGCAAAACGTAAATGCAACGAGTGGCCACGCGGTTCTAACAAAGAAACTGAAAATGACCAAATGGTGCTCAATGTGTCAAGGGAAATTGGACGCAATTTCCTCCATTATAAAGTTATTAACTTTTTTTAACCTAAAGTTTATTAAATGCAAGTTATAAGTATACCTAATTATTTTTCTTTTTAACCAAAAGCCTGGCGTTTTTAGGCATTAGGTAAACATTTGTTAAATTATTAAGTTTTACTTATTTAGTTAAAAAGCGTATATGGGATTTAGTGCAAATAAATCCGTAGCAATTTCTGGGGTAGCAAATATGGGGTGAGTAAAGTATGTAACTCTTAAAAAAGTTACTATTTAGAATAAGGAAATATCTTCCTACTGTACCTATACCTAATTACTTAATTACTTACTTTAAATCCAATTGAGTGGGTCTTTGAGCTTGTAACCCATTATTTATTTTATCAGTAGTGAATGAACTTGATGGATTGCTTAAAGGCACATTGATTTCTTTTATTTCTGAATTATTAATTTTTAAAATATCTGTTGATCCAGTTGGCAAAAGATCAATGGGTAAACTATATCCTACATCGTCATCATTTGAATTTGGTACAGCATACATATCTGGATGTGCTGCAATGTTTCTTGGTACTGACATTGGTTGTTGTATTATATCTGCAGGAAAAGCATATGAGTCATCTGGCATTAATTGGTCTGTTTTCCTATGCTCCTGCTGATGTAATTCAGCTTGCTGTTGCTTTTTGGCTAAAGATTTTTGTTTAGCTCGCTCTCTAGCTCTTTTTGCTTTAGCTCTCTCTCGTTCTTGAAGTAGCTTTGCCAATTCTTTATCTTGAGCTTCAATCGCTAAAAGTCTGTCACGATTAAGCAAACTGTCATTTAAAGAACCCTCTTGTTCCTGTAATTGTCTAGCGAGTGCAGCATCTTTTTCTTCTTGTATTTGCTTTTCTGTTATTTCATCTATAGGAACTCCAACTTCTGCAATGTCAATTCGGTTGAGTTGATCAGATAATGTTTTATTAGCTTTATATGGTTCTATATATAATTCGGTACTATCCATGTCACCCTTTAACCTAACTGGATCTGAATACAAATCATTAACCTCACAAATTTCATGTGGTAAAGGCATTGCATGGGCTTGTCTACGTGGTAAATTTGCTTGGTAATTATAGGGATTGGGCCTGTGTGGTGAAAAATGCTGGTCTGGTTTTGAAATTAAACTTGGTGGTAATTGTGAAGTATAATTGGAATTTAAATAGTTGGGCATTGGATTTAATCTTTCTCCTTTGTGTCTTTCTCTTTCAATTAATTGTTTTGCAATGTCTTGGTCCCTTATTTCAAGTGCCCTTCGCTTTTGTCTTTCTTCTCTTTCCAATTTCTCTGCCAATTCCTTTGCAATTTGATTATCTATTTCCTCTTGCTCTGCCAACATTTTATGGTATATAGCAGCTGCCTGCTCTGCCATTTGTTGCTCTCTTATTTGTTCATTTTTGGCTGTTGGAAAGTCTTCTCGAACAAGTTGATTTCTAAACTTATTACCAGTTAAATGCTCATCAAACTCCTGATTTTGAAGCCGATAGGCTAGTGCCATATCTTCCCTTACCATCCATTCCTGACAAACTTCATTAACTCTTCCAGTTTTTGGTAAACTGTCCCGTTCTGGTCCTTTAGTGTTAGACATTTTAAAAGTGTATTTTTAATTTTGTAGAATATTTGTTTTTCATGAATCATGAACTAACATTAAATTAACTTGTAAGTAAATTAAAACACATCAAAAACACAAGACAGGCACAAATATAACGAAAAAAGGACACAGTAGATTATTTATCCTATACAGAAACAACTGTCACAACACAACAGAAGAATTTATACAAGAGAAACAGAACGGAAATTATAAACTACCGTATATAGTCTGTTCACTTTGGAAAACACACTGCCAAGGTCATATGGCCGTTAAAATTTATAGATTGACGGAACGTAAACGTAAACGGAGTCCAGAACAGTATAAATTTACAAAAAGAAAATTACCATTCGAAAAAGAACGTTTTAAATGGTAAATAGGTATTAAAAATAAAAAATAAATTAATTTCCATCTTTTTTTTTTATAATAATAAATAATAATAATAATTCCCACATTTGAAATTCGCACCTTCATTTATTATACAACATTGGAACTATCTTCTTTATCACTGGAAACTACTAGAATGTATGGTCAAATTGACCATATGCAAGGAATGCGGTCGATGTTGCCAATGGTAAAAAAATAAAATTCCCTATTGGGAACATTCAATTATATTACGTTGGCTACATTGAAAATTTGAATTTCCCGCACAAACTAAATTAATTTTCATTTTTTTTTTAATAATAATAAATAATAATAATTCCCACATTTGAAATTCGCACCTTAATTTATTATACAACATTGGAACTACCTTCTTTATCTCTGGGAACTACTAGAATGTATGTCAGTTTGTGCGGGAAATTCAAACTTTCAGTGTAGCCAACGTAATATAATTGAATGTTCCCAATAGGAAACTTTATTTTTTTATCATTGGCAACATCGACCGCATTACATGAAAAACATTCCAATTACATGTTGCCAGATGTAAAATGTTTAAGCTAATTAGGGAAATTGGACATCCAAGCAGTTTTATAATATTATGTTAAAGGATAGCTAAATTCGTCTTATTTTCCAAAAATAAAACAACATTTGTAGTTTTTTGGCGATTGACCAGTGATTCGACTTGCCCCCAGCCGGCCCGCTTGTGGTCCGCGTTATGTTACCCCCTAACGTTTGGTCTTTTTATAGCGGTTCGTGTCGGCTGGAGCTACCCGCGCGCCGCGTTATGTTACCCCGGTTACCGTTTGGTCACCAGCAAACGGAAATTCGGCCAGCCGCGGCATACATCTCACGGATGCTTACGCAAATAGCGATGGGTAGCAATAATTAGTAGGATATCCTATATATACATTGTGGCCCATTTAAGATGGAAACACCCCGTAACTTTTTTATTTGTTAGTCGATTTTAATGAACAAACGCTCAAAAGATAGAGAATAACAAACTCTATCTAAGCTTTATTTTCAATGTCACTTGACAGATGCCTATTAAACATTTTTTTATGTCAAAACTCGTAAAAAATTATTAGGGTCCTCTTGGGACATGCTTCAAAATGGGAACAAACCACATTTCATTAAAAATAAACAATTTTAGACAAGATATTTAAAAAAATATTTATAATGAAACATAAAACACATTTCGGAGGTTTAGGAGAAAAATAAGTACGCCACTGAACGCGTCATACTTTAGAATGGGAACAAATTTGTTAACTTAATTTCATTAAAAATTAACTATAGGTATACCTACCTATTAATTAGTTAGGTATTAATATTAATATATATATTAATATATATATATTTCAGACAAGTTTATTTTACCTTCTTATAAACATAAATTTTCAGCATGGCTATCTTATTTTATTGTTTTGTATCAATTTATCTTTATAACATGGTAAAGTAAACTTATCTGAAATAGTTATTAATAGTTCATTTTTGTGGCGTACTTATTTTTCTCCTAAACCTCCTAAATGTGTTTTATTTTTCGTTATAAATTTTTAAAAAAACTTATCTTATTAATTAAGTACCTAGTTATAAATTGTTTGTTTTTAATGAAGTGAAAAATTCAGATTTTTAAATTGATTTCTAACCTGATCACTGATCACTTTTAATAAAACAATTATCACAAATCCTAAAAAAGTGGTAAAACCTCATAATTTTTTAATATTTTTTTTTCAAACAAGGTTTTCTTTTACTTTTTTACTATCCTGAAGGTACTCTCAAAAATTCAGATTTGTAAAATAATTTTTAACCTGACCACCAAAAAAAAACAAATCCCAAGTGGGAAAAAATAATTTAAAAAAAATTCAAACATGGTTTTTTCTTACTTTTTTACCATCCTGAAGGTACTTTCAAGAATTCAGATTTGTTAATTAATTTTAACCTGAGCCTGACCTAGGGTTGCCACCTTTTAAGCTTGGGGTTGGAGGACATGGAAATTTTTTAAATGCCCGCTGCGAAAATTTTTCAAAAAAAAAGGGGCGTTGCCAAAATCAAAACAAGTTCAACAGAAATTACCAAGGACCGATCCCTTGCAATATTAACTTTATTAATAGTACATTAAACTAATAACTACCTATTATACCTACCTACCTAATATTAAATAAACACATTTTTATAACAAAAACAAAACAGCATTGCAGTCAGATAAAAATAATAATATACCCAGACCGCAAAATCACATTCCCTGCATATGTCAGGAATATTCCCAGGAATATTCCAAGCGTTAAAGAATATTCCCAGGAATATTCCTGGCATAATCAAATGTCCTGCTTTTTGGTTATTCCAGGCATCATAAAAAGAATATTCCATATATCTGCCTGCAGAAGACTCAAGGATTGTTAGGGGAATATTCCTTGAAATAATTTGGGGATTATTCCCAGCCCTTATTGCCTCTTATATCCAGGAACTCAACTTAAGTATAGCCATTATTGAGTTACTGAGTAGATCAGTCCCACTCTAATCATTGTTTAGCTGTGCCATCACAGACGCACATCTCCAACTGATATTATTAACCTATCGGTATATATAGTTATCAAGCGTGCGTAAGCAACGGTGAGAGGTATTGCAACTAAACTAATGAATATTCACTGGGAATGTTCCTAGATGATGCTTGGAAGTTTTAGAGGATCATTCTAGGAATATTCCCAATGAATATTCCTAGAATGAAGCGGATTATTCCTAGGCGATAGGGAATATTCCTGGAATATTTTCGAACCTTCATTGCAGTCTGGGTACCTAGTAAATTACCCAGACTGCAATGAAGGTGCGAAAATATTCCAGGAATATGTCCGCTTCATCCTAGGAATATTCATTGGGAATATTCCATAGAATGATCCTCTAAAACTTCCAAGCACCATCTAAGAACATTCCCACTGGGAATTTCTCAGTGAATATTCATAACGCATTTTAAAAAGCACTAGGCAACCCACTATACAGATACCCGCCAACATAATTTTTTATTGTTTACAAGCCTGTTATTTTATTGGTTTACCAAGAAAAATATTTTTGTCAGAGCACAATAAAATACATAGAAAGGAGGACATATTTCATTTAAAGGAGGACAAAGGACATGACCTTATCAAAAGAGGACTGTCCTCCACAAAGGAGGACAGGTGGCAACCCTAGCCTGACCACTTTAAAAAAAATAATGGATCAAATCCTAAAAAAGTGAAAAAAGTCATAATTTTTTATATATATTTTTTTTTCAAACGAGGTTTTTTCTTACTTATTTACACTTCTAAATGTACTTCCAAAGTTTTGGATTTTTAAATTAATTTTTAACCCAAGCCCCAACCACTTTAAAAAAAATAATAATTTTTTTCAAACAAGTTTTTTCTTGCTTTTTTACTTTCCTGAAGGTACTTCCTAAAATTCAGACTTGTAAATTATTGACAGAATATACCTACTTTATTGTAAATTATTATAGTGGTTTAAAAAAAATAATTAAAAAACGTTTTTTCTATCCTCTGAATTATTTTCTGCCAGGCTGCTTGGTTATAGGAAATGCTACTCTCTTATTTTTGAGTTAATAAATAAGTTATTTGAAATATTTGTTTGTCTATTTGATTTCTACAATCTGCAGCACACTGTTAAAAAATCTTTTTAACTTAAAACTTACCCTGCAGGGTCCTGTAAAAAAGGATCACCAAGGACCACTACACTAATAAATAACATAATTTACTGTTTAACCTTTATTAAATCAACTTTACTTTTTATGAAATGAACAGGTGGCAGTGGATTTTCTAAACATTCACATTTATGTCCGGAAATAAAATCAAACCCTCCTATTCTTGCATCACATTCAGTGCAATTTAACCTTCCTTTGGACCAATTTACTTCCTGTATTTTGTTACTTATCCATAAAGGTAAATTTTCTTCATTCAAAAATATATTGGTTTCTTCAGTAATGCTTAAACAATTAACTTCATGGTCTTTATTTCGAGGCAGGTTATGTGCATTAACCAGGTGATTTTCACAATCTTCTATAATATTTCTTCGACAATTTCTACATTTAACGACTATGTTTGCAGTCATTTTAAAAAATTGTTTAGGTATTTTTATTGCATTGTTATCTATAGCTCATATACAGACATCATAGGGTATGTTTTGATCAGCCAGTATGCCATAACCTCACATATCGGCAATGCAGATTCGGCATAACCATAGAGAAAGCTCTTTTGTCTATGGGCATAACCACGTGCTCATTGCCTTGTTGCCGGACTTTCCTATTAAAGAGTATTTTGGTCTTTGGTCATTTCGACGCAAGGTGATTTTTGCCAAAGGGCATGTTCTAACTTTAATAATTAGTTTCATAATATTTCGTTATCAAGGAATTATATATCTAATTATAAAACTATGGGTAACTCTATAAATATTATGGAATTTCATATTAAAATAGGTATATAAAATCCATAAAGTTATGACATGAATTGTCAAATAAATTATGGATTTTGATCACAGATCTTGGCGCGCGAAAGTTTACTTCAAGAACTTTGTAAACTTTTCCCATTGAACAAACATGTGTGTTATTATTGTGCTTATGATTTAAATAAAATTAATGTTTAGATAAATTAGTGAATATGGATTCACTAGAAGAGTCTGTAAAAAAGGATTATGAAAGATGTAAATATATTGTAAAAGTTTGGGAACATAAATTTCAAAAACAAAATAAAAGGTTACCTTCAAAGGTAAGAATTATTATTTATAATATATTATGGATGTATTCTTTTAACAAAACTTTTGTAGTTAGATATTCGAGAAGCTAGTAAAGAAGTTCGTCATGCATATAAAAAATATTTTCAAATTAAAAGTTCAGTTTTGGAGCAAAGTTTTATTGATGTTGATATGGGTTTTGAAGAAAATCCTGAAAGTAAACCAGCCACATTAGAAGAAGAAAATGATCAGAATGAATTAAATCAATTAGAATTGATTGAATCTGAATTAAAATCCCATGAAAGTTTTGAAAAAAGTGATACCTGGGGTTCCCATTTAAATCAATCAAAAGAGATAAATGCATTGCCTGAAAAAACAAACATAACAGAAAAGCTAAACTCAAGCATTACCAAGAAACTTTTTTGTGGGTCCAAATTTGCCAAACGCAATCCTAGAAAGTCATTGTCCTTTAGTCAAAGAAAAAGTGATATTAGTATAAATAGTCCCAATTCATTTTCACAACCAATAATGTCTGAAAACAATATAAGTTTAATGTCGCAAGAAAATTCTCTTTCCCAAGATGACAGTTTACTTATTAATAATGTTAAATATGTTACACCAAAAGAAATTAATTCTACAAAATCTGTTAATATTACCCATTCTGCTTTGGCAAGTAGCTATAATAAAAATTTAAAAACTGTTGATAAAGGTTGGTTGAAAAGGGTATCTGAGCAAAATGGAATTAAAATTGATAAATCAGAAGGAGTTATTAACCATATACAAAAACCAACTCTTCCATCACAATTTAGCAAAACAATCGATGACTTACCAAACAATATAGTCACACAAGTAGATTGTGATAGTGATGTTATAGAGGAATCTGATGATGAGAATACATCAACATTTAATACACTTCATGTTGCTAAAAAGAGAAGGATTGAGGCTTTAAGCACAAATGATTTTAATTTAATTGGCGAAAATTCACAAGCAAATAATCAAAATTATGCAGCACCTACTGATATGGTTACACAGGGACTGCCAAATAAAATTAATGAAAATAATCAAAGTAATTTATGTATAAGGGAAACTTTAGAAGAAGTGGGTTGCATTGGTAAACAACAGGAAAAAGCAACAATAATAGGCACAAATATATTACCTAATCAAACATTAGAAAATAATCAAAACATTGGAAATAATCAAAGTAATTTATGTATAGGGGAAACTTTGGAAGAAGTGGGTTGCATTGGTAAACAACAGGAAAAAGCAACATTAATAGGCACAAATATATTACCTAATCAAACATTAGAAAAAGTTAATAGCATTCCTAAGCAAAAGAAAAAAAAAATATCAACAAAGAGTACTTGTGTACAGAAAAGAAAAGGTGTTTCCAAAGAAAAAAATGATTCTGAAGAAAATACAGGTTCCAATATAAAAAGACGATCATCCAGACACACTAAGAGTAAAGTTAGTTTACAGGAATTGTCCAGTGGAGAGGAAGATCCATTTGCTTCAGATACTAGTGATTGTGATCCTACATTTTCCCTGGATGAATTAAAAGTAAATAAATTCAATAACTTAGATTTGTCAAAGGAAATACCAACTTCAAAAACAAATAAAAAAACTCCCAAAATTAAAAAATCTGTAAAAACTAAAATTAAAAAGACACAAATAGAAAATCCCGTAGAAAATAATGACAATGAGAATACACCCTATGACCTAGAATTTTCAGTAAAACCAAGAATTGTTGCTCCCAGATACACTGACATAAAAAAAGTAATAGCTGGAAACAAGGTTAAATTAAAGCCCCAAAAAAGTACTATTGAAAAAAATAAAATTAACAAAGAACCAAAAGATAAAAAACAGCAAGCTATAGAAAAACTGGAAAAAAAAATTTCGTCTGGCAATTTAAATGAAAATTTTGTGAGGATTAATATGAAGAAAAAAGTATTTGTTCGTGGAAAAACTACTATGAATTTTAGCAGATACAAAAAAACAATGTGGAAAAACAAAAAGAAGTCATTAGCAGGACCAGAAATGGATATGGGTGGTTGTGATGGTGGTGTGTTAACATGCTTTAACTGTGGACAAACAGGTCATTTTGCAAGAAATTGTAAAACCTTAAAGGGTGAAGGTTTACTTCCTAATAATGCTACTTTAGAGGAGGAAGAATGCTCTTTTCCAACTTTGGAAGAGGCTGCAGAAATGGCCAGTCAAAGTGTTCTAAGCATAAGAAAACCAAATATTGTTGTAAATAAACAATGCAGTAAAAATGAAAACGAAACTTCAGATTTAGAGTTAGAGAGTGCTAATGAAGAAAATTTGGATGATGCCTTTGATGATGATCCCTTTGATGAAGACCTTGATGCAAATTTATTATCTGAAGCCATAAAATTGGAAGAACATGTCAAACAGTTAAATGTTCAATTATACATGGATAATGTTAAAACAGTTGATCCACTTTATCCACTTAAAACTGATATGTCAATAATAGGTAATCTAGATTTTTAAGTTAATTTTTTAATTTATAATTATTTGTTATAACTTTACTAGTACCCTATAGGGTACTAGTATAAGTACTATAGTACTTATCCCATTAATAATGGGAGAAACATTGATGGTAAATTTCCTTTTTCACTTCAGTGCTTCATAGGAATCAATAATCAGGATTACTTTTTATTTTTCAGACACACCTGATGAAGTTTTTAATGCTTTGAATAAATTTGGTCATAACTTATTCAAACCTGGGCAAGAACAAGCTGTAATGAGAATTTTGTCAGGCAAATCTACTTTAGTTACGTTAAGCACAGGTTCTGGCAAAAGTTTATGTTATCAACTACCTGCTTATTTGTATGCTCAACGCGAGCCATGCATATCTCTTATTATTTCTCCATTGGTGTCCCTTATGGAGGATCAAGTCCATGGCATACCTTCGTTTTTAAAGGCTGCCTGCTTACACACGAATCAGTCTAAAACTCAACGCGAAAAAGTTATGGAAGCCTTGGGTTCCGGAAATTTGGATGTACTGCTTATCTCCCCTGAAGCAGTTGTGGCAGGAGAAAAGCAAAGTGGTATGAAATTTTTATGGTTATTTAAAAAAATGTCATCTTTAATAAAAGCTGGCTTCCAAAGATTTAAAATTTAAATTAATATAATTGTATATGCAGATTGAAAGATTTTATAAGATTAAAAGTGAAGAAGGTGCTTTATAATCTCATGTACCATCTTCAGGTCTTATCTGCTGGGCTGCTGTTGCTACTCCACGTCTAACTCGCAGCAACAGCAGCCCAGCAGATAAACGTCGTCAGACATGCGGTTCTTTTAAGAACCAAAAACCGACAACACGGAGCAGATCCCGGAAAACCATTAATACATATTTATATATTTATATACAGGGTGTCCGGGAAAAGGAGGTCAATCCGTTAACCATATATTCCTTGAGTTAAAACAATAAGACTTTCATAATACCATTTTTCATTTTAGAGCTTCATGTTCGATATACAGGGCGACAAAGTTTAAAATTTAAAACTGATTTTTTTTAATAATTCAAGAAATTGATAAGATATTAAGTTTAAATTCGGTACACTACTTTAACATAAATAGTTACATTTTTTGAGACCAACAAAACAAAAAACAATTGTCAAATAATCAAAATTGGGGGGGTCCAGTACTTACTGACTCCCCCTATTTTTTAGTACGTGCGCCAATGACTTCCAAACGGTATTTTTTCAGGTAATAATTTATTGTTAAAAAAATTTTGTCTCCTATAAAATTTTGATAAAATGATTTGTTTTAGAGATAATTTGTAAAGTATAGGTCAGTCCATATCAAATCAACGAAAGGTTCTTCCCCCACCATCTCCGATTTTGATAATTTTTGGTAAATTTGTTTACCTCACTAAAAAACTTAAAAATCCCATATATGAATTTTTTTCGATGGGTGGTTTTTGTTTAATTGATTTTTGAAAATCAAAAAATTACGAAAAAATTTGGGTCTTGCAAGTACTTAAAAAAATAGCGATATCTCGTAAACTATTAAAAGTAGAAAGGTGAGTGATGGCTTATTTTAAAGGCCCATTAGAGACCTTTTTTATGATATATCACATGACCTAAACTTTTTCAAAAAAAAAATTAAATTTCCAAAATTTGATATGGACTGACCCATACTTTACAAATTATCTCTAAAACAAATCATTTTAACCAAATTTTATAAGAGACAAAAAATTTTCAACAATAATTGATTCCCTGAAAAAATACTGTTTGAAAGTCATTGGCGCACGAACTAAAAAATAGGGGGAGTCAGTGAGTACTGGACCCCCCTATTTTGATTATTTGACAATTGTTTTTTGTTTTGTTGGTCTCAAAAAATGTAACTATTTATGTTGAAGTAGTGTACCGAATTTAAACTTAATATCTTATCAATTACTTGAATTATTAAAAAAAATCAGTTTTAAATTTCAAACTTTGTCGCCCTGTATATCGAACATGAAGCTCTTAATTGAAAAATGGTATTATGAAAGTCTTATTGTTTTAACTCAAGGAATATATGGTTAACGGATTGACCTCCTTTTCCCGGACACCCTGTATGTATAGGTATAAATATATATATTTTAAATTTGGTACCCCCAGGAGCAAATCATGCGCACAGCCCTTGGTTGATGAATAAACATATTATCTTAAGAAACTAAAATTAACTGAAGTACATTTAGGTAAACATTCAATTTTCTTAGATTCTTTAAGAAACTTTCTTGACCCATCAATGGTAATATTCATAATAAAAAATTGAACCTACACCTCGCCAAAGTTTTTTGTTTTGAATGCGTTCCACCAACTTCAAATACCGACAGACAGCTTTTTCGACCTTTATTGGGTCTCATCAGTGTTGGGCAACTTGGTGTAGTGGAACACAATCAAAACAAGAGGTCAAGATGGTTTCTCAAAGAAACTAAGAAAATTGAATGTTTACCTTAATGTTTAGCCCGGTTGGGTTAATTCTAGATTCCTTTAGGCCATATTAGTATCTGTGATACAATTGCTGTGTGCAGTCCCGGTTGCATAGTATGTACCGATTGCGGCAAAGGCCACGTCGCACATACAGGTATTTCTAAGATCTGGGCGGCCAAAATGCCTGTTATCAAAGTTTGAATGACATCGTTAAAACAGACAACCTGCGTTGGACAACGCTTCTGAGAACCGTATCCAAACGCTTACTCCCTTTTCCCGCGCACCCCACGTACGTATGATTAGTCTGAATTTAAATTTCTAACCTAGAGTACATATCAATTTTAAGCGTGCCTATAAGACAACCTGTTTTTTTATGTGAATATTTGCGCCGCAAGTTAATCTAACAAGTTAAAATTGATGGATCCTAATACACCAGTTAATAAACTTACAAATTATCATATAATAAATATAAATAACTTATTTAAATAGAAATTTTTTATTATTGAAAGTGAACTCTTTTTCTTAGTCTAGTTTTAATGATTTTTTTTCTTTCACGAAGGTATTTGTTATGGTATCAAGCTAGATCAAGCTATGGTTTTAATTTTTATGTAATATTTACCCTTTCTTTTAATAAATAACACCAAAAAATTGCCCGGAAAATTCCGGATAACTTGTTTTTTTGATACTTCAAAGATTTTAAATAAAAAATTCGAAAAAATAAATAATATTATTTTTATTATAAATAATATTATTTTTTTTTATTTTTGCCATTTTTCAAAGTGTATGTTTGTCTTTGGTGTACCAGGTGTAATAATTACACTTTTACAATTACAATTATTCTAAGAATCTGACTAAGCATATTTTTCTTAATACTCCATTGTGCCGTTTAGTAAAAGTATTGTAAATTAGTATTTTTTTTTGTTAAAAACAAGTTAATTCATCTATTGGAATGGTTAACATACCATTTAAGCATACAAATAATTTTGGCCGCCCAGATCGTGCAAATACCTGTATGTGCGTCGTTTGACGGTGTGGATCACCTGATGTTCTTACATCTCGCCTCTGTTGACTTAACAACCGAGCATATAAGCTCAGGGAGTAATTTGTTTTGATTGTGTTCCACTACACCAAGTTGCCCGACACTGATGAGACCCAATAAAGGTCGAAACAGCTGTCTGTCGGTATTTGAAGTTGGTGGAACGCATTCAAAACAAAAAACTTTGGCGAGGTGTAGGTTCAATTTTTTCTTATGAAGTGCATTTGTTTCAGGATTTGGATCATTGTTTAGGAAGTTACCGCCAATAGCCTTCGCATGTATAGATGAGGCTCACTGTGTATCACAATGGTCTCATAATTTCCGTCCTAGTTACCTTTTAATTTGCAGAGTGTTGCGTGAAAGTTTAGGAGTAAAAACCATTCTAGGTTTAACCGCAACAGCTACAAGATCTACCTGTGATAGCATTATAGAACATTTAAATATTCCAGATGGAAGAGATGGCGTGATTAGCGATATTCCACTACCTAATAATTTAAGTTTAACTGTATCTAAAGATGCCCAAAGAGACCATGCCCTTTTGGGATTGTTGTTATCAGAGAGATTTGCTAGTTGCAAGAGCATAATTGTTTACTGCACAAGGCGGGACGAATGCGAGAGAGTGGCCTCATTTTTAAGAACTAGCCTTAAGAATGAATCGGCTGTTGAACCCACTAACAAAAAGCGCAAACGTGTAAATTTACAAGCAGAACCTTACCATGCCGGTCTCTCGGCTAGCCGTAGAAGAACTATACAAAACAATTTTATGTCGGGAGCTTTACGTATAGTTGTTGCTACGGTAGCTTTTGGTATGGGCATAAATAAATCTGATATAAGGGCTGTCATTCATTTTAACATGCCCAAAAGTTTTGAGAGCTATGTTCAAGAAGTAGGCAGAGCTGGAAGGGATGGTCTAGAAGCACATTGCCATTTATTTTTGGATTCTAAGGTATTTATTAACAACTTTTATGTGGTCTGTTTTAAGTTTCCCATTACCAATTTAAAATGCCTCCTATCTAGTGATGTAAGAAAACATGTTTTTTTTAAACAATTTATAAAAAGGAGAAGTGTCGCCATCTAGAGTGTCCTAAAGACACCATAGTATTATACAAACTCCAAGGATGGACCAAAATACTTCCCGACACAAGATAAATGGGAGATTTCTGTTATAAATCGTCGTTCGACAGCTTAGATGCACAGTTTTAGTTTTTAGTACTGTTAACATTCGGAAAATACGAAATTTTGTATTTCCCAGCAAAACAATGTTTTCTTCCACCAGATCAACTTAAAGCGCACAAAAACCTGCTGTCAACTGCCGCAAATATTTTCGGGAAATACCCTTTTCATACAAATAAGTAACAGATCTCTTTGATATCGATGTGGTATAGTTTTCGCGGCGAATGTTTCAAATTGCGTCATTTGACATTCGACATCGATGACGCAATTTGAAACATTCGCCGCGACGACTATAACAGTCATACTGCGGGCAATAATGTGGAATAGAATTTCCATTAAGGAAAACAATCTTTCTGAAATAAAATAAACCCCTAAAGTTATTTTTTCTAAGAAAAACATGTTTTTTTTTGTATTTTACATCACTACCCCTATCAATTTGTTTTTTTAATTCTTGGTATTATTTTATTATAGATATTAGATTTATTAACAATCGCACTTAACCATGAGGTATGTTTTAGGGTAAAGATGAAGATGAACTTCGTCGGCATATTCATGCAAATTCCATTGATCGCCATGTGATACGAAAGTTACTTCAAAAAATTTTTGTCCCCTGCTCATGCCAAAATGAGTGTCCAAAACATGAAGTAGGATTTTCAATAGAACAAACAGTATCCTTTTTAGATATACCAGAAGAAAATATATCAACTCTATTATGTTACTTGGAACTTCACAAAAACAAATACATACAACTTTTAAGTCCTGCATACACCTGGTGCAAAGTAATATCATATGGTGGACCCATGCTTATAAGACAAGCTGCTAAAGAATGTCCGCCACTGGCCATGGCTTTAGCTTTGCATAAAAAAATCGAAAATGAAGATCCAAACACATTAGAATTTCCCATTATTGATATAGCTAGTGCCATTGGGTGGGAAAGTGGTATTTGTAAACATAAATTAAAGAATTTGGAATGGACTACTGGTAAGTATTACCAAACAAATATTTGACGAAATGGTATTTTTTAAGAAAGTAAGAATTATGACTATTTTATGAATACGAAAATTGAAAAAGGCTGAGAAGTGAGTCTTTTGTCCTGATCTACGCGTCAGCTTCCAATTAAGCGAAGCAAAAAAAGACACTTCTCAGCGGAATGTCACACAAAATTTTATCTTCAAGGCACAATTTTATTTGTTAAACGATACATAAAACATACACATAATAATTATTATTACAAGTAGAAAGTGAGGTTAGGTGGATCTGACAGTAGTCAAATTTTTTTATTGCTTTAAACCGGTTTTTTAGAGACTAGGATGTAAAAAAAACTGTACCCGATTGGTCTAAATTATTTTGACAGCCTATGAGATAATAAATCACTTTAGTAGAGAGTGTTGACAATAATAAAGTTTAAATTATAGAATGCTTAAAGATAAAATATTTTTTGCATTCAAGATAGCAACATTGGTAGTTTATTCTATGTTTTTAATATATATGGGGTTCATGTTTTGTTTTAACAAAGTCGTGCTACGGCCCACATCTAAGGTTGCGACACCACTTGAAAAAATACCGGACAGATAGTAAGACTGAATGTTAAGACTTGGGAAAAAAGAAGGGAGGGGCGAATAGCCTAGATAAAGGTGTAATAGGGTAAATATCGTAGATTTAAAATTTTTAAATGCATTAAATGTCAAGTTTTCAAATATCAATCAAGTTTTTTATTACACATTTGCATACGAAATTTATATTTAAATTATGTAGACTTACTGCCAAAATTAAATATAAAATGTTTGTCCGGTGTTAAGTATTTTTTTATACCGGAGTCAAAATACAGGACTGTCCTTAGACCATATAACACTGGACGTGTAATGAAACAATATGTGGCTTCAAGATGTGTCTTGACAGTTGTTTGGTGTTTTTTATTTTTTGAATCATTGTTTTACAAAAACAACCTAAAATGGTGGTGCATAGTTGTGGTGAAAAATACAGCGTAATTGCGACAGAAAGACATACATTTATCTTTAAGTCCTCTTAACATTGGCGTCCCTTGCAATTTCGCCGACATGTTTTTATTTTATCATTAGTTAAATATTGGATTATTCAATAAGAGATACAATTTTGTAAGTATCCATTTAAATTTTATCAATCTATAAAGCAGTGTTTACAATTGTCGCATAATGCCGAAAATAATACATAATAATATTTTTACATTTTCTTTGATTTCCCTTGATACTGCTCCCCCACTGTACGGTACCTACATCTTGGAGTCAAACAAACGAGATTATTTTAGATGGTATAAGGGAATCTGGTAACACATGATGTGTTAGGCTTACCTCCCTTAATTAAAAGGAAAAAATTTTCCCTGGTGGCTCAATTAATCTCCAGGTTCAATATACTGCAAAGAGTGATGCGGAACTTAAAAAACAGTTGTCTTAATCAGTATATAGGCAGAGAGGGCCAGCCATTTAGACAAAAACCCAATTAAGCTTTTATGAATCTAAAAGAAATTGTTACTAGCTTTCTTTTGTACACTTTCAAAAGTAGGGGTAATTCACTGCTTCAACCTGAATCACAACTAATAAAGTCGTTTTTTCGCGTAAATACTATGAAATACTACGGTTAAATAAGTCATGACGTCACAGTTAATTCATATAACCATGGTTAGGTTTCTAACATTTGACATTTGTTTACTTGTTCATAACCTATAATTTTTAAAATGTGTTTTTACCACAGACCTACAAACAAGATGGACCGGTTTATTTACATTAAAAAGAGTGGCCAGGAACAAAAATAAATATTTTCCCTCAGTTGTCACATTTGACTTTGAAGTTTCTATATTTTACGTAAAAGATACTTGGAATCCACAACATTTAATATTTTTTATTTGATTTTATAGTGAAAAATACCAATAGTGAGTGATATAAAAATGGTGAAGCAGTGCTACGTTTGTAAAAGACTTGGATCCAAAAATTTAAAACTTTCTTTTCATAGGTTAGTTTATTTACAAAACAAACCCTGCCAGGAGCGTAGAAACTGAATAAATAAATGAATTCACTTAAATTTTAGATTTAAAGAGCCAGATTCTACATCATCTGGAACACTAACTGACAAGGTTAGTATTTTGTTATACCTATATATTTATATATATTAAATATAATTTTTACATAGGATTGCAAAACACAATAAAAAATGTACAATTTAATATTTTTATTTATCCCTAAAAACAAAACGCCACTGGTGTGGGAACTTGTTTATAAATACCCCTTACCCCTTTACCCCTAATCTAAATAGTTCTTGGCAACAAAACATTGTGTATTTTGAATAGGAAAGGCCAGTCCATTTTGTTTGTAGGTCTGTGGTTTTTACCTATTTATATTTAATTTCTATGCTTTTACAGGTCGTCACCCTAATATAACAAGGTTGTATGTTAAAAAAAACGAAAAATTTAAGTCTATGTTTCTACAGGATTATACGTGCCCTACGCTATACATACCACTTAAAAATAATTCTATAGAATGTATATTCTATGTATACATATATATAGAGTTATTTTCAAGTTGTATGTCAAGGGTGGATTGCATAAAACCTTGTAGAAGCATAAACTCAAATTTTTCGGTTTTTTAACATACAACCTTGTTATATTAGGGTGACGAGGTGTAAATAAATTTCTTTGCCTCTTCTTTTACCTTGTATATTCTTTTTCTATGAACCCTAGTTCTTATACCTACCTTTTCTATACCTCTTTTTATATATAAACAGTTCTTCACTGTTGTTTACCATAATTAAAATCCAACAGTGTTTAACGTTTATACGAAAATTATTATTGTGAAACTCAAAATTTAGAATGGAACTCCAAAGAAAAAGACGAAGGTTGGCGGTATGTTTTGGAGAAGATATGTTTAGCACACAACATTATTCCTACATAAACATATTAAATATATATATTAAAAAGAGAAAGACTATTAACCACGTTGAATAACTAGCTCAGCGATATAGTTTTATGGTCTGGTATTTGTGACGTCATAGTTAGGATTTTTGAACGCACTCTAAACGCAAAAATGCCTTAACTATTAACCAAGGTTAAGTTTAATGACCATAGTATTTCATGGTATTTACGCGAAAAAACGCCTTAAGTCAACATATTTAATTTTGTTCTAAATTAAATAACACTCTAGGTAAACCTAATTTTTGGACGTATAATTCAGTGGTATAGGTAATCCGTTTTTTAAAGTTAGCTCGTTTTCTCAAGATATTTAAGTTTTTTTATTTCACTATTTTGCTATATGAAGAAAAAGATACCATAACCCCTCTTAAAATGTATTTTTCTACTCCCACCTTTAAAACGCCCTTTATAGTACATGTTTCCAAGATACTAAGTGACCTTTTAAATACACATTGACAAGTTGTGGCTTTATGGCGCTTTAGTCACGGGCTGAAGTTTGCAACAGGTTTTTAGTCACGGGATGAAGTTAGTTTTAAGTTAGTTGACAGTTGTCAAATGTCATACAATCGTTAAAATAAAGTGCCTTTCGTGTAAAATAATACTAAATGTGAAAATTATTTTATTATCTCAATACAAAAATACAAAAGTATTAAATAGTTTCTCAACGCCAATACCTATTTGAAAAGTTTATATGAACATTGTACTGACTTTTAAATTTCGCCGGCAGTAAACTATAACTTAAATTCGGGCACGGACTCCACTGTAAAGTCCTCATAAAACATTTTCTTTACTTTCACTGTAAAAAACTGACAATTTTCAAGAAATACATTTCGATTTATAATCTTTATAATCTGTTTATAAAATTTAAAAATGTGACATTTGACGGTGACACACAGATTCCCCTATTCTTTCATAGATGGCGCTCTATACAAATTTTTGATTTAAATCTTTTTAAGATAATAAGTATTTGTCGCAGAAAAAGTATAGTATGCACCTCGTTTATAAACTTTTCTATACACTCATTAATTAAATTCGTGTATAAAATAGCGTTTATCAAACTTGATACATAATATACTATTATTTATTTTTATTTAATAATAATTAATATTTTCAGTTAAACAATCCATTAAAATTTATATTATTTAGAACAAATCGGATAAAACATCTATCTTTATCTGTCTTTATTTATATTTAATTATGAATACCTAATAAATATTTTTTGTCAGTTTTAGGTAGAAAGCTATTAAAATTTAGTTAATTCAAGAATATTTAAATAACGAATAAAAAAAGATACAAATACAAAATTTGAAATATCTTGTTCAAATGACCTAACATTAAAAAAACGGATTACACCATGGTACCAATTGAATTCTACAACCAAAATTAGGTTTACATGTCCCGGCGTTATTGTTTGTCTTTTTGGTATTTCTAAAGCAGAGTTCATATAGATGCGAATTTGGAAATACGAATATTCGCATTTCGCAACTCCTATTCATATAGATGCGAATTGTCGGAACCATTTTAGGGACATTGTTTTCTCACTAGGCGATATTTGCCGTGGTATTTTAGGGACATTATTTTCTTCCCAGGTGATATTTGCCATACTTGGTTAACATTTTCTATTTGTTTTATTATAAAACTTTTAGGTGAATTGAAATTTTGTGTTTTTATGGATAATATGCTACTATAAGGTAAAATAAGAAACTAATGTACCTCCAAAAACTCTTTGTCCATTATAAAGAACAAAAAAACAACTTTAGCAAGAAACAGTTCAAATAAAACTCAACAACGATGCAATACAAATGAAATAAACACAGAACTTAAACAAAAATGGCGTGGGTACATATAACAAATACGTATAATAGCCAAATTCGTGCGATTTTCGCAAAATATTGGATCAATCTCAAGATTCCCGCCCCCCAGATTTCAAATCTTGCGAATTCGCAGAATCTGAAACTTTGCAAATTGTGCAGCCATCTAGCGTGAAATCGTACTAACTAAGATCAAATTGTACTAACTTATCGCGAAAATTCAAAACTTGTCCAAATTTGATTAATATCAGATTTCTGCTCTCAGAATCACCATTGCATATGTAAAATTATAATAAATGAACAAGTATACTGGCGCTTTGGTTTTTACTATGAAAAATCTACAAACTGGGTTTAGTTGTGTGATTATTTAGGAAGGACAGTCTGTCGGCGTCAGCAACAGGATTTATAGGTTAGGTTAGTGATGACTTGACGTTTGAGTTTTGACGTTGACATTTGACTCCTTGCGCCATATTCCCTCCTTAGAAGATTATATAATAATATAATCTTCTTATTCCCTCTATAGAGAAACTTTCTCTATAACGTAGGCTCAGTTACCAACAGAAAAAAAAGTTGATAGAAATGTTGTCCCAATTTGGGGATTCGATCGAGAACGATCGATTAATTATTTTTTTCTAATTGAAGGCAATTTTGAAAATTGTACTAGAATTGCCGAAGAGGTGCTGACGTACTAGAAGCTATTATTTTGTACTAGAAGAGTACAATTGTACTAAAAATCACACCCCTGGTCGAAACGTCGAAACACTTTTCCCGCCAAATCAAATGGACCAATGAAAACATTTTCGCATTTCGCAAATTCGCATGTCGCATCTATATGAACCAAGCTTAAAAATATAAAAAAGTAATAAACCAAAAAATTTACCAACTTAAGTTATAAAATATTAAGTTTACGTGTACCGGAGTCTTTTTGATGTTATTATTGTGTAATTAAAACTTGTTTTGAATGTTTCATTGTTTTTCACAGCTCTTGACGGAAATGTATTTATTGAACTTTGAACTTGATTAACTGCGCAACACGTGGAAAAAAGTACCGCTTTCCGCACATTTCCAGAGTCCATGTCTATGACTTGGGAGTCCCGAGTTGGGACATTCTGTATTCATAATATACATAAATCACATCCCACAAAATTCGGTATATTTTTAAAAATATTTGTACTTCATTTTCAAGAGCAATCCTTCCCAATAATTATGGAATACAATTTCATTCATACGGCTGCCTCGGCCGGCGTGAAATTAGCCCACCCTAACAACCCAATTATTGTTTATTAAATAGCATTTTTAAAAAGATACCGAATTTTGGACCACTAACTTAATTCTAAACATAAAATTTAATCAAATTGAGTTTCTGAAAAAAATCAGATTTTAAAATACACATTATTTTACAGTTAATAACCAGCCTAAAAGATCATCTTTAAGCGTTGTATTCTCGAATCTTGGATTTCGTTTGTTAGCACCAGGAAACCTTGATGATGATCAATTGGATGAAGCCCTAGATAGCTTATACACAAGAGTGGTGGATCAAGAACGCATGGCCCTATTACAATTGAGAGCTGTTCATGAAACCCTTGTAGAAGTTGCTGGTCCCACCTATCGTACTTGTTTAGGCGATGAAACTGAAAATGTAAACAAACTGAAGAATAAAGTAAGGGAGTATTTTGAATCATCGGATCCCCTGGGGTCTCTCCCCGAAATAAAACCCAAACCTGTGAATGAAGAACTCATAATTAATGATATTAAAACTTTAATTCATATGTATAGAGATAACTCTTTTACTGGAAGAGCTATTGCAAGAATATTTCATGGTATTCAAAGCCCCAACTACCCAGCTGTAATGTGGGGAAGATGTAAGTTTTGGAGAAGTCATATTGCAGTTGATTTCCACACAATTTATAAACTTGCAACCATAGAAATTCTTAAATTAAGATAAGTTTAAATCAGATTTATATTTTTTATAGTTAATAAACAATATTTTATTTAGTTGTTATTTGTTACCGAAGTCTATAAAACTAATGTGCGACTTGCCGATGGAATTGGCGCGCTTGGTTTAATAAATTTTTGAAATTTCAAATATTGGTAAAGAAAAAACCAGGAACCCCAATACATTTGTAATATTTTTCACGCGCATGTCATTTCACGCATTGCGTCGCGAGCAAAAATGCTAGCACGTGAATTGGAAAGAATCGGTAGCGTGATCTCACATGGGTATTAAGTTTATTAAAAATAAAATCGATCAAATATTTAATTTAGTTAATCGCATTTAACCACAACCCAAATATATCGCTCACCAGCAACAGAAGTGACTCAAAGTCAAAATTGGCAATTTTTGGCTTATCCACACGTTCTAATGGAACTTTTCGGGCTCTACAATCTTTAGAAACTGGGGTACTTACAGACACGTCTTAATCATCTAAATAAAACATATCTCAAATGGTGTATCAAAACTCCTAATCTAATCTAAAACAAAAGATAGATAATTGGTTTATGCAGTGTCGCTCGAACTCTGGTCAGACGTTAACCAGAGCGCTTCAATATCACTAAAAAACCAAAGACTTACATCTAAAGGGCAGTGTAACCTGTAGTGCGAAATCACTACGAAAACGTAGTATAAGTAGAATAGGTAGATAAGTGGACACGGAATTTTGGACGACTATCATCCCGTAAAAATAAAAATTCAAACTTCCTTTATGGACAACTAACCTTACTTCCGGTTATTACTAGTCTTGTCTTATTTTGTACAGATTTATAAATGGACAACCAAATTATGACGTTTAAAATTCCGTGTCCGCCACTGTACCACCTGCCAGCGAGAAGCATATCTGAAGAACAACGGGGTGAAGCAAGAGTGGGACTAGGGATCAGGGGATATAGAAGCGGAAAAGTACGACCTAAAAATAAAAAGTCAAAATAAAAAAATATCATAAAGAAAACAGTTAACTTGAAAACTTAAACCAAAGTATTATACAGCGTGAATGGAAACAGCCGAAACTAGACAGGACTTAATAATCACATACGGCCAAATATAGGAAATTTTAGACCATACGTCGAAGAGGCAATACTTGACCAAATCCGCTGTTACGAACACGACAGTGACGGACAACCAAAGCGTATTTGAATGACCACGGACCAAACGATTTTTGGATAGGAGCAGAAATAATATTAGCCGACTCGGACGTCTCCCTATTGTAAATGACCAATAGAATCCAATAAAAAATTAGTAATTGGGTTAAAATGTGTTTTGGCGCTATGAATCAACAATTCATTCCAGTTGCATTCCAATTGGTAAGTTCCAATGAAGTCAGCGGCTTAAATTGGAATAAACCAATCCTTGCCTATGCTTGTCTCTTGGCTAAATCCAATAGAAATGCACCTGGAATGAATTGGTAATTCATAGCACCAAATCAATTTGAACCAATTTTTTTTTTAAATTTGGATTAAAAATATCAGTTGATTTTTCATTCAAATATGATTAAGATCCCAGAAGAATATCCGGGTAAAAACCAGAATTAATTTTTCACAGAAATGACAAAAAAATTATTATAACTGATTAACTTTATTTCTTTATTATTTTTTTGTGTTAGTGAGATACATATAACTTACTAACACAAAAAAAGTAATAAAAAATAAATAAAATTACTCGGTTATAATAATTTTTTGTCTTTTTTGCAAAGGATGTTTGTAGGCATGATCGAAATCAATATTATTTATGTCAATTTTTTTTTATTTTGTCCGCTGTAACCACCATTCTCACGCCATCGTCCCTAAACCTTTCACATATAAACATTTTTTTAAGGTACAAGTACACTCCACTATAAGTACACAACTACCACTAAGCACAGAAACCCATAGATTATAAAAGAAACCGACTAATAAAAAAACGACATTAAAAAGCGTCCAAAGACTTGTTTGTTTCCTTATAATGGCGTCTCAATCATTCGAACAAGGACTGCTTACGTTGGTTTTGCGCAGCTATAGCAAGAGGGCTCTCGTGTATACACGAGAGCCCTCTTGCGATATTTTAAAGTATTGGGAATAATCAATTAGCAGATTCCTTTTTAGAATCTCACACTGGGAATGCCCAATTGAATTCAATTGGAAATTACCTATGGGTAGCTTTAACCAATCGAAACCGCTAAAAAACAGTAGAATCCTAATTGGACTTTTCCATATTTTAAAGTATTGGGAATAACCAATTAGCAGATTCTTTTCTAGAATCTTACACTGGGAATGCCCAATTGAATTCAATTGGAAATTACCTATTGGTAGCTTTAACCAATCTAGACCACTAAAAAACAGTAGAATCCTAATCGGACTTTTGGGTCGAGTTATTGCCCCTGAAAATCTAAAAAATCTAACCTCCCAGTTCCCAGCGCGGTTGAAAGGTCACTAAAACCATCGGCATGTCGCTTACAAACCCCAAAAAGGATACCGTGCAAACTGTCGTGGCATCCGCATACATCAAACAAAGGTGAAGCTGTTGGGCGCGAAAGAAAATCGAAAGGTGGGTATCGGTTGCACTTGTGAGGCCCGAAAGAGACGATGCTGATGGGGTCAGATATAGGCTTTATGTTTGTATAAAAGTACCTACATTTTACCGAACGCTGTTCTGAAGTCTTCCTTTTTCTTATTTCTGACCAATCACACAAAACTATACACCAGGCTGGTGTCACCAGCAACTTGCATAATAATTCAAGGTCAATTAACTTTGTTATTAGTATCAATGTATGCGTTTGTGGCACAAAAAAATCCTAAATTAATTCCAAATACAGAACATGCACAAATAAGTTGTCCTTTTGTAATACTGAAAATGTGGTGAACTACTTCAGGATTAGCTCTACAAAAATAGCCGATTCTTATAAATTTGTCAAAGGGGCTGCAATGCCGCCTATAACACTGCACCATGACACTCAAGGGCGTCGCCAGACAGGGGCAGCTGCCCCCCTAGAGGTTAACGCTCACAAGTCACCCGGCTAATTGAAACGATAAACTGAGTGTTGTGGAAACCCTCAAATTAAGAAGGCTTTGAATATCCTTGTTGCTTTACCTTGTACAGTTTAAAGGTCATTCACTAGCCTCAGGAGAATCAAAACGTGGTTGAGGCACCATGTCTGAAACTCGACTCTATGGCCTCGCAATGAGTGGAAACAGGCAACACATTTTCAAAAACTTGGACGATTTCGTCAACAAAGTGACTAACGAATTCGCAAAGAACCCTAGAAGATTATGTTTCAATTGATTTTCTATGTAGTTATTTTGTATGTTTTTTATTTTTTTTATTAAAACTTTTCTTTTTTGATTTTTCTCTTCAGTTCTTTTATGCTGCCCCCCCTAGCTTACTGGCTGGTATACACATAATATATATTATAATATATTATGAAGTATCATGCACTGCATATTATTATGCTAAACTATTAACTATAGACTAACCAACAAATGAGAATGAATAAATTTAAACCTGTTTAAAAATGTATGATTTTTATCTAAAAAATACAACAGTCAATAAAAACAAATGAAATAATTTATTACGTATTATAATATACACTTTTACTTAATGTCATTAATCCTTCCCCATCCAAGCCTGGATTTCGTCTTTTCTAATTTTAACCAGGAAGGAATGTATCCTGAGAAATTTTGTGCATTTGGATAAGGCACAGGAGGAGGAGGAGTTTTAAATGGGTGACTATTTTTTAACTTTCTTTGTAGAAACTCCTTGTTAATTTCTTTAGGGTCTCTATACTTATCCATGTACAAATTAAAAGGTTTTCTTAATGGAAACCATTCTTGCTTTCTTATGTATGGATCAGGAAAATCATATTCAAATACTGGTTCTTTTATTTCTAAAAAATAAATATCATTGGTTTAAAGTTATTAAACAAAAAATATTGTCTTACCTAAAATATTATGATAAAACTCCTTTAAGGATGAATCCCAGTCTGATTGAAAGAAAGCCAAACCAGCTGGAGTCAAATCATCTTGAAATTTTTTATAAAATTCGTAGGTAGAAAATGTTCTCTCTGATAAGTTTAAACTAAAAAATAAAAATTAACATATTGACGCTCTAATGATTTGGCCAGATTGATCCTGCCTGGTTCTCAATTTACTTACCATTTACCGTTCTTTTTATAATTAGTGAAATCTATTTTCTGATTTTGTTTATATAAAACAAATACAAGTCTATGGAATCCTGTTCCTTTGGGCGGGAAAGGTTGTAAATAATCAATTAGAGTTTCCCCACTACTTATTTTATTCCCAGGAATATTTCCGCTACAATTAAAACAAAATTAAATTACTGCTAAATTGGTCCATGAAAAAAGCTTTGTTAAAATACTTACAGAAACCAATGAACATACTCCTTATTGTGTTCGGTAAAATGACCGTCTGGATTCGTTAATATTAGTGACCACAAAGTTTTGCTATCACTCTCATAGCTTATTTCGGGTTTGGATTGAGCATCTTTTGGTTTTATGGTGTTGCCAAAGAAAACTGGATGTTCAATATCCCCTTGGGTGTATGAAACATTTAATGGAACAGTAGGATGAAAATATGCATCTCCATATAAATGTTCAAAAATTCCAAAATGATCAGCTCTCTCTTTAATGTGACTGGAAGCACAGGTAGTTAACCACTCTTGTCTTACTTTGTTTAAATCTACCAGTACTAAAAGTAGATTAATTTTTAACATAATAAAATATTTTTACACAAAAAAGTTTGAGGTTTGTTGTAAATTGTTTAAATTAATTGTGGAGGAAAATGTATAGCCTAGAAATTTAATAATAACTTATTATAATTATTATCTGTTTGATAAGTAAAAAACAGATACAATAATTAATATTATAAGAAGCTTTTATTAAATCTCTAGATTGGCTCGAAAATCTCTAAAACTATAGTTTTAGAGATTTTCGAGCCAATCTAGAGATTTAATAAAAGCTTCTTATAATATTAATTATTGTATCTGTTTTTTACTTATCAAACAGATAATAATTATAATAAGTTATTCACTATAGTGAAACTTCACTGGACCTGTTAAATATTTTAATATTCGAATATTTCAATATTCGATTATTTGAATATCGACATTCAAATATTCCGAGGAATATTCAAATACCCGAATATTCGAAATAATTTTTAAACGAGTATTAGAAATTCTAAAACTAAAAAATTCTCAGCCTTAATTCTGTCACATCATTTTTAGGTTGGGTTTATAATCTGTGGTTGGGTTCAACCTTTTTGGTTTATGGGTTCAACTGACTTGAACTTTTGAACTAGTATTAATATGAATGGAATCATGTATTCTTTTTGGGTTTATTAAATAAAAATAAATGAGGTCTTTCTATGTTCCTAGTGTATTAGAAAATTTATTATTCAATAAATAAAAATGAAAAATGTGTTTTCTTCTCGTAATGTATATTATTAACATTATTTGGATTTTTCCCTATGTAATGGTAAACATTATAACCGCCCCTCCCAACATCAGTGATTGCCTGATTTCAGTATTCACTGTTATAATCACAGTGTGATTTGAAAAAATCGAGTTTTAAATTGGAAAAAAGAGATGTTGTAACATTCTGCAATTTGTTTAAATAATCACTTAACAATAATAGTATAAATAAATGTCGACACAAAAGCCCCCCTCTTGAATCCGCGACTGATTAGGATTTATCATATTTCGCTTTTTTCAATTACACTTATTTAATTTATTAGTTTATTTATTTAATTGACTTCAAGAAATCATAAAAAACGCGAGCTTACTTTCATTTCGAGTTGGATCCATTTGGGCTGGAGTTACTTGTTGCACTGTGTTATAAGTACATATATTATTTTTCTGAGGAACACACTTTTCTTTAAAGATCTCTTAGCATTATTAAACACAGGATAATTTTCTATGGGGAATAGAAAAATATTTTTAGACATGCAAATGTTAATTTACTCCCAAACATTTTATAATGTGTGACATTTTGAGCCCAGAAACCCCTTGAGTTCAGCTTACCTTTAGATTAAAACAAAGCTTAATTTTATCTATAATACCTAATCTATAACAGACTAGTTAACCAAGCCTCAATTAGAGTTGAACAACCAGGCCTTACTGTCTATCTTAAATTTTTTTATAATAAGCTATAACAAACTAGTTAACTAAGCCTCAATTAAAGTTGAACAACCTGGACTATTGCCTGTCTTATTATTAACTCGTTATTAGCATTGTCTTTTTTAATTAAATATTAATATTTATCAATATAACTTAACTATATTAACTCTATTTATATCTCTAGATCTTGATATTCTGGAGAAACAAATTGTCTTTGATTAGAGTTCCTTTATTTAAAATTGGGCCACAAACAGGTTCTTTTTTTAGCATATACACAATAGTTAATAAATTTATCTTACATGATTTGGTTCGAGCCAACTTTTCTAATTGAGTATTTTTTCGTTGTTCTTTTAGTACTTTCAACCTTTCATCCAGTTTTTTGGAACGAGATGATAAAACTATTGGAAAGCCTATATCCACCCGAAAAGATAAAACAGGATCCTTTTTTTTCTTTTCTAAAACAATATTACTTATATAATTCGTTTACATATAGGTACAAACATCAATTGTACCCAAAAGTTTTTCTTCTAAGGATTTTGCTATCCCTGGTGGTTTTCCTCTTAAGTGGTGTCCACATCGAACTGATCCACACCAAACCGAATTAAAAGGTCCATTAATATTATTTTTACAAATATTCCACAATGTACATGCCATTTCCAAATTATGTTGCCGTAAGCATATAGAAAATAATATTCTAACCCATAAAACTCATTTAACCTCACTTTGGGAAAAAACCCAAAAGCAGTGTTGCCAAAATAATTATTAGTTTTATTGTAATATTATATTATAATAGCTTTGTTCCATCAAGTCTATAAGACTTGTCCAATAATTAATATTATCTATACAGGGCAAGTCGGGAAGAAAGTGTGAAACTTTAAGGGTAATTTTTTGTATTCTTTAATTATATTTTCTTATATCGACACTTTGACATGTGTTAAGTTGAAGAAAACGTCAAAAAGGGACGTTGCCAGGTTGGATCGCATATAAACGATGAAAAAAACTTGTGTTAATATTCGATTTTTTATTGTATTCGAGATACCTACAAGGTTTTGAAAAAATATTTTAAATAAAAGCATTCGCTGATAACGAATCTAGAATCAGAATTCCAAAATTCAAAATGGTAGATCCAAAATGGCGGACATATTTGTAAAAAAATTGACGGAATTAATAGACCTATCCCATAAAACAGACTTTTAGATAGCGCGTGCCTGAAGAAGAGTGGTATCTCTTTCTCTTTCATATAATTAAAAAAAGACGACGTGCCTTTTCACGCACGCGCTATCCAAAAATCCGTTTTATGGGATAGGTCTATTGAAAATCACCATACAGGGTTTTTTGTGGTCGCTTCATGATAATGAATCTGGAATCAGAATTCCAAAATTCAAAATAGTGGACCTCAAATGGCGGACATTTTTATCGAATATTGTCGAAATTAATTAAAAACCCGTAAGAAGTTCTTTTTAAAATGTATTAAAACATCTTTTTATAAAATAGCTTAATTTAGTTTATTATAATTACGGACGGAATAAATTGAAAATCACGATACAGGGTTTTTGGGGTCGCTGATAACGAATCTGGAATCAGAATTTCAAAATTCAAAGTGGTAGATCCAAAATGGCGGACCTATTTGTAAAAAAAATTGACGGAATTAATTGAAAATCACCATACAGGGGTTTTTGTGGTCGCTGATAATGAATCTGGAATCAGAATTCCAAAATTCAAAATAGTGTAAGAAGTTCTTTTTAAAATGTAATAAAACATCTTTTTATAAAATAGCTTAATTTTGTTTATTAATAAACTAAATTAATGTAGGATGACTTCTTTGTAGGCAAATAAAATCAGTTTTTCTTATATTTTCCACGTTCTTTATTCATGTAACCTTAAAACTACTTTTTCTTGTTTCTAACTCTTCTTCTTCTTCTTACATTGTTGCCAACTACGTATTACCAACATACTTTATTTAAATAAGGCGGGAGATTCAAAAATATATCTCACAGTTCGGCCGTTCTGACACTAGATCGACTCTGATCTGTCAAATAAGTCTTATACTCACATCTTAAGTCTTAACCTAACATAATTTACATAATTTGGCTCAGTCATAACATAATATACATCATAATTTATAAATCATAATCATAAGGGTAGTGTAATCATAAATTGTACATAATCATCACATAAGTTAACATAACATCATAAAATCAGTACATAATCATAAAATAGTATCTGAAAGCATAACAGCATAATATAATACATAAACAAAATCATAACTTGGCATACTTTTTTGGCATAAGGTCATAATTGGGAAGAGTCATAATCGGGAAATGTTTTTATTCGTTATTGGAGTAAGGTCTTAAGTTTGAATAATCTAAGATACTTTTATACGGTATCTGCGTTATCTGAAATCCAGGAATATCCTCCACTACATACCTGTCATTAGGCAATACCTTGGTAACCAAATACGGCCCTTTATAGCGAGGAAGATGTTTTTTGTTTAGCCCAGGCGTGACGTCGATATTTGTTCGTACTACATAGTCACCTGTCTTGTATAAATGGGGAGATTTGTGGCGCTTATCATAATATTGCTTATTGTAGCTCTGAGCTTTCGAAATTTGGTTCGACGCTTCACTTCGAAACTTGGTCAAGTCGCGGTCATAATCATTAAGAGAATTTAAATACTCACCAAGGGGATCTAGCACTTTACCCTTCTGATGTACGCCAAACAAGAGAACTGAAGGAGAGTTATTTATTGGCTTACAAAAAGTGTTATTGAAGGCGAATTCTACATCTTTAAGAACTTTGTCCCATTTGTTTAAATCCGGAGATAATTTTGAAAGCATTGGTCTTAGATCTCTATTAATGCGCTCAATCTGTCCATTCGCCCTAGGTGAACCTGCTGCCACAAGAATAAGTTGAATATTTTTTTCATCAAGAAACTCTTTAAACTCTGTTGACCTAAAATTTGAGCCACGATCAGCTATAAGACGATTTGGTCGACTGTAGTTAGAAAAATAGCCTCTTAAATGGTTTATGGTTTCGGACGCATTTGTACTTTTGCAAGGATAAAACTTAACGAATTTTGAAAAACCATCGATAACTTCGAAAACATATTTGAAACATTTACCAGTCTTTTCCAATGGCCCATAATGGTCACAATGAATGGTGTCAAAAGGAAGGTCGCCTTTAGGAATGGGATGTAGAACACCTTCAGCTTTCCCTGTTGTGGGGGAGAACATAATACATTTCAAGCAATTGCCAACATATTCCTTCACAACCGTCCTGACATTCGGGAACCAATAATTGCGATTGATGAGTTCACAAGATTTGTCGATACCTACGTGGCCAACATCGTCATGACAGGTTTTTACAACATTATTTCGAAGAGAGTATGGTACATAAAATAGAAGTTTACCATTAAATTTGCGATAGACTAGACCATCTCTTAGTTCATAGAAAGAACTTTCGCCATTTTGTAACTGGCTTTCAATCTTAACAATTTCAGGATCTTTTTGTTGCATCACACATAAGTCTTTCTGCAAATCATCATCAACCAAACTTACATTTACAAGGAAACAACGACTTAGCGCATCAACGTGTCTCATGGACTCAGCTTTTCGATGCTCTAACGAATAATCGAATTCCTGGAAAATAAGGCTCCATCTTAAAATTCTGGTATTAACATCTTTCTTCTCCAAGGTCAATTTAAGACTGTTACAATCGGTGATGATTTTAAACGAAATTCCTTTTAAATACACTCTGAAGCGCTGTAGAGAATAAACAATGCAAAGGGCTTCTAATTCAAAACTGTGGTACTTGGACTCATCAATTGAAGTTCTTTTGGAAAAATAAAATACGGGATGAAACATATTGTCAGCCTGTCTCTGCATAAGAATTGATGCAAAACCAATTGAGCTTGCATCACAATGTAATTGTGTTTCCAAGTGAGGAGAATAAATCGATAATAATGGAGCTGAAACTAGGACTTCTTTTATTTTTTCGAAACATTTGATTTCTTCGAGACCAAAAACAAATGGGGTCTGTTGCTTTTCCTTTTTCAGGAGATCATAAAGGGGTTTAGCTTCAATTGAGAACTTTGGGATAAATCTACGAAAGTACGATGATAAACCGAGAAAACTGTGAAGCATCTTAAAGTTTCGCGGAGTTGGAAAATCAGTGACTGAATTTATGTTTTCTTTGCTTGGACTTATTCCAAGATGATTAATAGAGTAACCAAGAAAAACGATTTCTTCTTCGACGAAACTGCACTTATCCAACCGAAGAGAAAGTTTATTTTTGACAAGAACTTCAAACACTTCTTTTAGAATTTCGATGTTTTTCGCGATAGTTTCGGTGGCGATGACTATGTCGTCAATGTAGATTACGATTTTATGTTGATCTAATAAGTCCCGAAAGGCAGAGTTAATATATCTCATAAAAACGGCAGGAGAGTTCTTTAAACCAAATGGCATCTTGAGGTATTCAAATTGACCTATTGGGGTAACAAAACTAGTGAGGTGAACAGAGCCTGGATCAATATCTACATGGTGGAAAGCATCCTTTAAATCTAACTTTGTAAAATACCTTTTATCGCGAAGTCTCTCTATCTGATCATCAATGTGGGGAATCGGGAAATTGTCACGTGATATGTGCTTATTCAACTCTCTATAATCTATACAAAGACGTAATTTTCCTGTTGGCTTCTTAACCAAAACAATGGGAGAACTGTATGGGGACTCGCTTTTTCTAATTGTACCTTGACTTAAAAGGTCCTTAATGATTTCTTCTAGGGATAATTTGTCAGCATATGACAATCTGCGGGGCAAGAAATAGAAAGGGTTATGATTTGAATTGATAACAATGTTCATCTTTACTGTGGTAAGAGGCTTAACTGGTCTTTCTGGCAGAATGTAGTTTTGGAAAACACTATTTTTTATCAAAGATACGATTTTAGGACTTAAATTTTTGTTGATATTCAAACTTAAATTATCTGGCTTCCCATTATCGTTTTCTTCAAATATTTCAACTTTTAGTATTTCATTATTAATAAAATCTGTATGTATTCCGACTCTTTCCAATTCAACCTTACCCTGATTTACTGAAAATTTAACATCTTTATGACAAAGAAAATCCCTACCAATTAGGCAATCATCTGACATTGAGTTTTCTGGTATTACATAAAAAAGAATATTCAAAATCACTTTGTCAATCTCTGTGGCACCTTTGACTGAACCTAAGATTGTAATTTTACTATTATTCATACCCGAAAAATTAACGCTTTCATCAACAGGTTTAATCAAGCTACTTTCCACACAGTTTGACTTTAAAAATGAAACTGGACTGCCTAAATCCAAAAATGAGTTTAAAATTAGGTACTTATCTGAATTTTCAAAATACAATTTAGTTGGTACACGGCATGCTGGAGTTATTGGTGGTGTATCAACTCTGTGTGTGGTGGAATCAGCTGTAGACTGTTGTGGCCTTGGCTTTTTCTTAGGACAATCTCGAACCATGTGCTCTTTCGATCCACATTCGAAACAGGAACCTGGCTCGCGTTTTGGTTTTCTGCATTCAGTTGCTTTGTGTCCAGTTATATTGCAATTGTAACACCTAGGTTGGAATCTTGTGCTCTGCTGGGGTCTCCTGTCATTACTGCTGCT